CCAAGGACTGAGGCTGTAGACCCAGGACTGAGACTGTAGACCCGGGACTGAGGCTGTAGACCCAGGACTGAGACTGTAGACCTAGGACTGAGGCTGTAGACCCAGGACTGAGGCTGTAGACCCAGGACTGAGGCTGTAGACCCAGGACTGAGGCTGTAGACCCAGGACTGAGACTGTAGACCAAGGACTGAGGCTGTAGACCCAGGACTGAGACTGTAGACTCAGGACTGAGGCTGTAGACCCAGGACTGAGACTGTAGACCCGGGACTGAGGCTGTATCAATCAATCAATCTTTATTTATAGGGCGCTTTTCCTGCACAGGGCAACACAAAGCGCCTCACAGTCCACACCACACAATGCACAAATCATCACCATTAAAATACAATTAAAAACACATATGTAATTAAAAAGCATTAAAATCACATAAGTAATTTAAAAACATAAGAATCACACAAGTAATTAAAAACAATAAAATAGTTAAAAACACAAAAAGTTACAACAATAAATAACAAGGTGTGTTAAAAAGATAAAATTCTCTAGTTGTATGCACAGGAAAAAAGAAAAGTCTTTAACATGGATTTGAACATTGACAGAGAGGCAGCCAGTCTCACATCCTCAGGAAGACCGTTCCAGACTCCAGCTGCATAAATCTGAAAAGCAGCCTCCCCCTGTCTAGTCCTGACTCTGGGCACTAACAGGAGTCCCTTCCCTGCGCTCCTCAGAGTCCGGGCTGGTTCATATGGGACTAGCATATCATGGATGTACTTTGGTGCAAGGCCATGGAGAGACTTGTACACCAGGAGAGCTGCTTTAAAGTCTATCCTCTGGGCCACGGGAAGCCAGTGCAGAGACCTGAGGACCGGACTAATGTGGTCGTACTTCCTGGTTCTAGTCAGGACTAATGTGGTCGTACTTCCTGGTTCTAGTCAGGACTCGGGCTGCTGCATTTTGAATGTACTGCAGCTGTTTTACTGCATGTTTGGAGATACCTGTGAGCAGGCCATTGCAGTAATCCAGCCTACTGGAAACAAAAGAATGGATAAGAATCTCCAAGTCTGCCCTGGACACAATATTTTTAATTTTGGCAATATTTTTCAGATGATAAAAAGCTGCTGATGTTACCGATCCAATGTGGCTATTGAAGTTTAAGTCAGAGTCCATTATTACTCCCAGATTTCTGACCTTATTTAAAGGCCCCAGGGAGAGAGACTGAAGGTGACAAATGACGGTCTCTCTTTGTTTCTCGGGACCAAAGACAATCATTTCGGTTTTGTCCGCATTTAGCTGGAGAAAATTGCATTGCATCCACTCACTGATCTGTTGGATACAGCAAAGGAGTGAGTCCACCGGTCCATGCTCTCCTGCAGTCAGTGAGACATAGATCTGAGTGTCATCAGCGTAATTGTGGTAGGACACTTTCATACTTTGAATTAACTGACCTAATGGCAGCATGTAAATATTGAACAGGAGAGGTCCCAGAATCGACCCCTGTGGCACTCCGCAGGTCAGGGCCATATGATCTGAGACATAGTCTCCAATCTCCACACAATACTTCCTTTCTTCTAGATAGGACCTAAACCAGCTTAGGGCGGTACCAGCAACACCAACCCAGTCCTCCAGTCTCTGCATGAGAATCTCATGGTCAACGGTGTCGAAAGCGGCACTCAGATCTAACATGACTAAAACAGAGACTTTTCCTGCATCAGTGTTAAGCCGAATATCATTTGTTACCTTGACTAGAGCGGTCTCAGTACTGTGGTGTGGTCTAAAGCCAGACTGGAACATGTCAAATGAGTCATTAGATATTAAAAATTCAGTAAGTTGTTGGTAGGCAACTTTTTCAAGAATTTTTCCCATGAAAGGCAGATTTGAGATGGGACGGTAATTTTCAAGTACCGCAGCATCCAAACTGCTCTTTTTTAGGAGGGGCCTGATGACTGCCTTTTTCAGGGCCATTGGAAATGTTCCAGATAAAAAAGACATGTTTACTATTTGTGTCAATGAGGGTAATAGACTACACATAACAGACTTCAGAAATCTAGGAGGTAGTACATCCAGACTGCAGGTAGAGGAACTAAGACCTGTGATTATCTTTTTAACAGTTTCATCATTGACAGGTGCAAATTGAGCTAGCTCACAAAGCCTCACTGGATGTTGCATTGTTACTTGTGTTGTAGAGGTGATGGCATTTCTGATACCCTGAACCTTGTCTCTGAAGAACTGTGCAAACTCATTACACCTGGATTTGGAGTAGTGTTCTAATGGCAACTCAACAGGGGGGTTCGTTAATCTATTGATTGTTGAAAATAGAACACGCAGATTGTTGCTGCAGCCTTCAATAGTTTCAGAAAAGTATAATTCTCTTGTTCTACGTAGTACTCTGTTAAACTCACACAACTTCTCTTTTAAGAGTTTATAATCACCCTGGAGGTTGGACTTTCTCCACTTTCTCTCTGCTCTCGGCACTCTTGCTTCTGTGCCCTGACCGGGCCTGCTTTTATCCATGGGGCTTTTTGCTTATTTGTGACCATTTTTACCTTCACAGGGGCAATGGCGTCCAGAACATTCAACACACTAGAGGTGACAGAGTTAAACAGTTCATCTACAGTAGAACATGATGTGTTCTCAAAATGGATCATTCCCATAAATAGTTCACCCGTGTTTTCATTTAAGTGTCTACTTCTAACAATTTCATATTTAGCGGGTGGTCTGGTAGCAAAACACATGTTAAAAAATACACAGAAATGATCCGACAGAGCAACATCAACTACATTAACTTTTGAAATATTCACCCCTTTCGTGATAAGCAGGTCCAAGGTGTGTCCTCTGCTATGGGTGGGGCCACTCACATGCTGAGTGAGGCCAAAGGATTCAAGTATGGAACTCAGCTCTTTTGCGTATCTGTCATTAACATTATCCACATGAATATTAAAATTGCCTATAATGACTAAACCATCAAAATCTGTGCACACAACTGAAAGCAACTCAGTGAAATGATCAGTGAAACTATGGCATGACTGTGGCGGCTTGTACACAACAATAATAAGAATGGAAGAAGATTTCTTTTGTTCTATTTTAAAAGAAACATACTCAAATGATGAAAATTTCCCAAGAGACACTCTATGGGAGACAATACGATCTTTAAAAACTGCTGCTATGCCCCCCCCCCTTTTATTTTCTCGTGTTTCATATTCAAATTTGAAATTTGGTGGTGAGGCTTCTATTAAAACTGCATCTCCTGTATTATGGTCAAGCCATGTTTCAGTCATAAACATAAAATCAAGATCATACGAACAGATACAATTATTAATTAAAAATGATTTGTTGCACAGTGATCTGACATTAAGTAGAGCAAGGTTAAAATTAATATCAGTGTCAGTGGGTTTAGTTGATTGATTACAAAGAACTGGAATTAGATTTCCAGAGTTGGACCGTCTAACTGCTGTCCTTCTTTTAAATTTGTGTTTATTCAAGTTAAAACACATTTCTGAGCTGGTGCGAGGAACACACACAGTCTCTATTGGTTTAAAAAGTGAACTCTGTTGTACTTTGTTAAGTTCCAGATGCATGACTGAGTCAGCACAGTTCAGTGGCAGGACTGTCGTTACACTGCCAGACGGACAGGGGTCAGTGTTTGCACCACAGTACTCACCCGGTGCTGGTAAGGAGGAGGAGGCTGTAGCCCCAGGATTGAGGCTGTAGACCCAGGACTGAGGCTGTAGCCCCAGGACTGAGGCTGTAGCCCCAGGACTGAGGCTGTAGACCCAGGACTGAGGCTGTAGCCCCAGGACTGAGGCTGTAGACCCAGGACTGAGGCTGTAGACCCAGGACTGAGGCTGTAGCCCCAGGACTGAGGCTGTAGACCCAGGACTGAGGCTGTAGACCCAGGACTGAGACTGTAGATCCAGGACTGAGGCTGTAGCCCCAGGACTGAGGCTGTAGACCCAGGACTGAGGCTGTAGACCCAGGACTGAGGCTGTAGACCCAGGACTGAGGCTGTAGACCCAGGACTGAGACTGTAGACCCAGGACTGAGGCTGTAGACCCAGGACTGAGACTGTAGACCAGGACTGAGACTGTAGACCAGGACTGAGGCTGTAGACCCAGGACTGAGACTGTAGACCCAGGACTGAGGCTGTAGACCCAGGACTGAGACTGTAGACCAGGACTGCGGCTGTAGACCCAGGACTGAAGCTGTAGACCCAGGACTGAGACTGTAGACCCAGGACTGAGGCTGTAGACCCAGGACTGAGACTGTAGACCAGGACTGAGGCTGTAGACCCAGGACTGAGACTGTAGACCCAGGACTGAGGCTGTAGACCCAGGACTGAGACTGTAGACCCAGGACTGAGGCTGTAGACCCAGGACTGAGGCTGTAGACCCAGGACTGAGGCTGTAGACCCAGGACTGAGACTGTAGACCAGGACTGAGGCTGTAGACCCAGGACTGAGACTGTAGACCCAGGACTGAGGCTGTAGACTCAGGACTGAGACTGTAGACCCAGGACTGAGGCTGTAGACCCAGGACTGAGGCTGTAGACCAGGACTGAGGCTGTAGACCCAGGACTGAGACTGTAGACCCAGGACTGAGGCTGTAGACCCAGGACTGAGGCTGTAGACCCAGGACTGAGGCTGTAGACCCAGGACTGAGACTGTAGACCCAGGACTGAGGCTGTAGACCCAGGACTGAGACTGTAGACCCAGGACTGAGGCTGTAGACCCAGGACTGAGACTGTAGACCCAGGACTGAGGCTGTAGACCCAGGACTGAGGCTGTAGACCAGGACTGAGGCTGTAGACCCAGGACTGAGACTGTAGACCAGGACTGAGGCTGTAGACCCAGGACTGAGACTGTAGACCCAGGACTGAGGCTGTAGACTCAGGACTGAGACTGTAGACCCAGGACTGAGGCTGTAGATCCAGAATTAACTCCAAGTTCAGGCCCGGCTGAGTTCAGAGCAGTGTGAAGTTATGGGAGAGTTAAAACACTGGAGTTTCAGGTTTCATGGCAGTGACGGGGGGTGAGGACAGGGTGAGGACGGGGTGAGGACGGGGTGAGGACAGGGTGAGGACAGGGTGAGGACGGGGTGAGGACGGGGTGAGGACAGAGTGAGGACGGGGTGAGGACGGGGTGAGGACAGGGTGAGGACAGGGTGAGGACGGGGTGAGGACAGGGTGAGGACGGGGTGAGGACAGGGTGAGGACAGGGTGGACAGGGTGAGGACGGGGTGAGGACGGGTGAGGACGGGTGAGGACGGGGTGAGGACAGGGTGAGGACGGGGTGAGGACAGGGTGAGGACGGGGGAGGAGGGTGAGGACAGGGTGAGGACAGGGTGAGGACGGGGTGAGGACGGGGTGAGGACGGGGTGAGGACGGGGTGAGGACGGGGTGAGGACGGGGTGAGGACGGGGTGAGGACGGGGTGAGGACGGGGTGAGGACGGGGTGAGGACGGGGTGAGGACGGGGTGAGGACGGGGTGAGGACGGGGTGAGGACGGGGTGAGGACGGGGTGAGGACGGGGTGAGGACGGGGTGAGGACGGGGTGAGGACGGGGTGAGGACGGGGTGAGGACGGGGTGAGGACGGGGTGAGGACGGGGTGAGGACGGGGTGAGGACGGGGTGAGGACAGGGTGAGGACAGGGTGAGGACGGGGTGAGGACGGGGTGAGGACAGGGTGAGGACGGGGTGAGGACGGGGTGAGGACGGGGTGAGGACGGGGTGAGGACAGGGTGAGGACAGGGTGAGGACGGGTGAGGACAGGGTGAGGACGGGGTGAGGACGGGGTGAGGACGGGGTGAGGACGGGGTGAGGACGGGGTGAGGACAGGGTGAGGACGGGGTGAGGACGGGGTGAGGACGGGGTGAGGACAGGGTGAGGACGGGGGAGGACGGGGTGAGGACGGGGTGAGGACGGGGTGAGGACGGGGTGAGGACGGGGTGAGGACGGGGTGAGGACGGGGTGAGGACGGGGTGAGGACGGGGTGAGGACGGGGTGAGGACGGGGTGAGGACGGGGTGAGGACGGGGTGAGGACAGGGTGAGGACGGGGGAGGACGGGGTGAGGACGGGGTGAGGACAGGGTGAGGACGGGGTGAGGACGGGGTGAGGACGGGGTGAGGACGGGGTGAGGACAGGGTGAGGACAGGGTGAGGACGGGGTGAGGACAGGGTGAGGACGGGGTGAGGTTAGTGTTAGTGGGACACAGCAGTGATGTTGGAAGCAGAGTCAGGTCCAGTCTAGAGAAACACATTATCAAGTATCATGTAAACGCATCAAAGGTTTAGAAAGGAGCTGCAAGACTGTCCTGAGCTCTACTCTAATAATTATAATGATTATAATAATAATAATTATTATAATAATAATGCATCTGTTTTATAGTTTTTTGGACTCTCAAAGTCTCTCCACATCATAATCCTTTCTCTCCAAACACGGTGCCGATAAACTACTGTAGCCATAGCTGCCCTGGGGCACACTGACAGAAGCCCCTCCCACCACCAACCATTCACACACACACACCAGACTCATTCTAATGTGGGGGAAGTGTCTTGCCTAAGGACACAACCACAGATTGGCACTTTAGAGCCACATACTCTACTGTACTGTACTCTACTGTACTCTGTGATCTACTCTACTGAACTCTACTGTGCTCTACTGAACTCTACTCTACTGTGATCTACTCTACTGAACTCCACTCTACTCTACTGTACTGTACTCTACTGAACTCTACTCTACTGTGATCTACTCTACTGAACTCTACTGTGCTCTACTGTACTGTACTCTACTGAACTCTACTGTACTCCACTCTACTGTACTCTACTCCAGTGTTTTTCAACCACTGTGCCGCGGCACACTAGTGTGCCGTATGATATTGTCTGGTGTGCCGTGAGAAATTCGTCTACTTTGTCTAAAAATAGCTGCATTCGCTGTTGACGAGCGGTGACTTGTTTTGAACTGTGAGTAACCATGTAATACTTTTTCAAATCAGTAGATGGCAGCAGATAGCTAAGTACTTTGAAACTGAAAAATTGGATGCGACCACTGGCTGTAACAGGTCAGCATTGTGGCGAGAAAGGTAAAATTGGATGCGACCAACAAATGTGTGAGGGAGCGAGACAAGAGCTTTGTGGCGAGTGAGAAGTGAAAGTGATAGAGACGTTTTTGAAAATGAATTATGCCGTTTCTGAACAGGATTAATAATAATAATAATAATGCATCGGTTTTATATAGCGCTTTTCTGGACACTCAAAGACGCTTCACATGTGTCATTATTCATTCACTCCATACACGGTGGTGATAAACTACTGCTGTAGCCACAGCTGCCCTGGGGCACACTGACAGAAGCGAGGCAACCAGTATGCGCCATCGGCCCCTCCGACCACCACCAACCATTCACACACACACCAGACTCATTCTAGGCAATGGGGGTGAAGTGTCTTGCCTAAGGACACAACGGCAGTTTGGCACTTTACAGCCGCAGCCGCCCCACTGTGGCTGGTGTTCCCAGAGGTTAAGTGTCTTGCCAAGGACACAACGACAGTAGTCAGAGGGAGTCGATGGTGAAAGTCTTGAGCGGGGCTTGAACCCACGACCTTCTGGCTCAAAGGCCAAAGCTCTACCAACTGAGCTACTGCCGCCCGGGGCAGCTGTGGCCGCGTTGTAGTGGTTTAACTATGAAATGTACGATTTTTGTACAACAGCTCTCGCAAACGTACTTCTGAACTGGGTACCGAGCGCAGACCGTAGTCGAGTGGACAGAACCACAGACATGCGGACCGGACAGAACCATGGACTCGCGTTCAGGACCTCCCGTGTCCCTCATCCAAAACTCCTGAATTTAAAGCTCGGATACCAAAATGTTTCCCATGCACTAACAATGCATGTTCTTTGTGTGAGTTATTATTTGACTATTTGGGCAGAGAGTGGATTTTCTTAGTTTTTTTCCACACAGTTAGTGCCACTTTATTCCCAAACTCTTGTTAATTGTATCGAGAAATATTAAATAAAGCTTAATTTCAAGGCCTGGACTTAAGCATTTTGATGAGAATAACTGTATATTGTGAATATAGGCTACAGAGTATACTGTATACATTATAAGATAAGATATACTTTATATATCACACAGAGTATGTACAGTATATATTTTTTTACATTAGTACTGTATACATTTTTACATTTTCTCCTGGAGGTGTGCCGCAAGATTTTTTCAGTGAAAAAAGTGTGCCTTGGCTCAAAAAAGGTTGAAAAACACTGCTCTACTCTACTGTGTCTCAATGGCAGTATCTTGCAGCATTGATGGTAATGGGATTCTCTGGCCTGTTATACTTCATTTTAAACCTTATGATCTCAGGAAAACAATCATGTATTTATTTTGTTAAAACAGGTTAACTAAAATGTAGTTAGAAGTTTTAGACTGTACAGTCTGATGAGACTGTCCAGATGTCCAGACTGTCCAGATGAGACTGTCCTGATCAGTCTGTCCTGATGAGACTGTCCTGATGAGACTGTACTGAGGAGACTGTCCTGAGGAGACTGTCCTGAGGAGACTGTCCTGATGAGACTGTCCTGATGAAACTGTCCTGATGAGAATGTCCTGATGAGACTGTTCTGATGAGACTGTCCTGATGAGACTGTCCTGATGAGACTGTCCAGATGAAACTGTCCTGATGAGAATGTCCTGATGAGACTGTTCTGATGAGACTGTCCTGATGAGACTGTCCTGATGAGACTGTCCAGATGACTGTCCTGACACTGTCCTGATGAGAATGTCCTGACACTGTCCTGATGAGACTGTCCTGAGGAGACTGTCCTGAGGAGACTGCCCAGATGAGACTGTCCTGAGACTGTCCTGATGACTGTCCTGAGACTGTCCAGATGAGACTGTCCTGATGAGACTGTCCAGATGAGACTGTCCTGATGAGACTGTCCAGATGAGACTGTCCAGATGATACTGTCCTGACACTGTCCTGATGAGAATGTCCTGACACTGTCCTGATGAGACTGTCCAGATGAGACTGTCCTGATGAGACTGCCCTGAGACTGTCCTGAGGAGACTGTCCTGAGGAGACTGTCCTGAGACTGTCCTGATGAGACTGTCCTGATGAGACTGTCCTGAGACTGTCCTGATGAGACTGTCCAGATGAGACTGTCCAGATGATACTGTCCTGACACTGTCCTGATGAGAATGTCCTGACACTGTCCTGATGAGACTGTCCAGATGAGACTGTCCTGATGAGACTGCCCTGAGACTGTCCTGAGGAGACTGTCCTGAGGAGACTGTCCTGATGAGACTGTCCTGATGAGACTGTCCAGATGAGACTGTCCTGATGAGACTGCCCTGAGACTGTCCTGAGGAGACTGTCCTGAGACTGTCCTGATGAGACTGTCCTGATGAGACTGTCCAGATGAGACTGTCCTGAGGAGACTGTCCTGAGGAGACTGTCCTGATGAGACTGTCCTGATGAGACTGTCCAGATGAGACTGTCCAGATGAGACTGTCCTGACACTGTCCAGATGAGACTGTCCTGATGAGACTGTCCTGATGAGACTGTCCAGATGAGACTGTCCAGATGAGACTGTCCTGACACTGTCCTGATGAGACTGTCCTGACACTGTCCTGATGAGACTGTCCAGATGAGACTGTCCTGAGGAGACTGTCCTGAGGAGACTGTCCTGAGGAGACTGTCCTGATGAGAATGTCCTGATGAGAATGTCCTGAGACTGTCCTGATGAGACTGTCCTGATGACTGTCCGGATGAGACTGTGCTGACACTGTCCTGATGAGACTCACACGTTCAAAAGACTGGAACAATAGAGCCAATAACTGGAAAAGGTTTTAAGAGACCAGAATAAGACCAGAGAGAGAGACCAGAGTAAGACCAGAGAGAGACCAGAGAAAGACCAGAGAGAGACCAGAGAAAGACCAGAGAGAGACCAGAGAAAGACCAGAGAGAGACCAGAGAGAGACCAGAGAGAGACCAGAGAGAGAGACCAGAGAGAGACCAGAGAGAGGGACCAGAGAGAGAGACCAGAGAGAGACCAGAGAGAGAGACCAGAGAGAGGGACCAGAGAGAGACCAGAGAGAGACCAGAGTTGTAGAGACTGAAGTCATTTGTTCAAATCGCTGTAATCGTGTCTCAGACGAGTTAGTTTTTGATGTACAGGGCTCCCCTACTGACTGACCTCCTCTGTGAACACACTCACACACGCACACACAGACACACACGCAGACTCACACACACTCACACGCAGACACACACACACTCACACGCAGACACACTCTCACACGCACACTCACACAGACACACACACACACACACACACCGAGTTGGCAGCAGATATAACCACAGACAGCTCATGCTCGAGGCTGGAGGCTTTTTCTCTCTTTTACAAACGGTTTCGACCCAGAGCTAATGGTGGCAGGAGTTCACCGGGGGAGCACGGGGGGCTCGGGGTAGAGCTGCTTTTCATTTGGCTTTTGTTTAACCTTTCAGTTTAGTTGTAGCAGCAGGAGTCGGCTTAATACCATCAGATTGAACACACAGATGTTCAGGTCCTGTTTCCACATGCCTTTGTAAATGTTGTTTTGGAAGGTTTTTGGAGTGGCTACACCCCGTCAGACTGACCACGCCCCCTTTGGACTGACCACACCCCCTCACACTGACCACGCCCCCCTGTGCTCTCTGGAAAAGTGAGTCCCAGGTGTGAGCCAAGGTTAAGGCCCCTCGTCTCTGGGTCAGCACTAGATCATAAACGGAATCGGGACGGAAGCTGAAGTAAATATAACAAACTACCTATTTATGCCTGACCTTAACCATCTTACTCAGAGCACCTTAACTCGAACCTTAACCATCTTACTCAGACCACCTTAACCCTAACCTTAACCATCTTACTCAGACCACCTTAACCCTAACCTTAACCATCTTACTCAGACCACCTTAACCCTAACCTTAACCATCTTACTCAGACCACCTTAACCCTAACCTTAACCATCTTACTCAGACCACCTTAACCCTAACCTTAACCATCTTACTCAGACCACCTTAACTGAGGCTGTAGATCAGTCCTGGATCTACAGTCTCAGTCCTGGGTCTACAGCCTCAGTCCTGGGTCTACAGCCTCAGTCCTGAGTCCACAGCCTCAGTCCTGGGTCTACAGCCTCAGTCCTGGGTCTACAGTCTCAGTCCTGGGTCTACAGCCGGAGCACCTGGAGGAAACCTACACAGCTACATCGAGAGCATGCAAACTCCACACAGAGAGGTCTGGAGGTGGCTACGACCTTCTTGATAGCCCCGCGAGTGGTTCCCGTGTGGATGTTTGGGCTGCTTCCTGACCCGTGTGTGGTTGTTATGGTTACGCCCCCTGTCTTCTCTGTGGTTCTCTGACCTGTCGTCGATCCGCACCTTTTCCACTTGAACCGCAGATTTCTGAACGCTCTTTTCTTTAAAGCTCTCCTCTCGCCCTGAACTCTCACCGTTCGCCAAACTCAACTCAGAACAAGCCACAAGCAGAAATTATTAGCAACGCGATGATTTTAATGATGTATTCGATTTCATTACGGAAAGAAGTGCGGAGGCTGCGACTGTGCTTTGCTCCGTCTGAACTATGCCAGTAATGTGGAGGTATTTACACGCTCCCGCCCCCAGCGCCGCGGCCCGGAACGCTGTTGTGGTTGGCCGGTCGGAATAGGCACCGGACTGGCATCGACTGTTGACAAAGGAAAGGAACCTGGGAAGGACCGGGCCCAGAGATCATTTAACACTGGAGGGTTTGGAGCCAATTATCCCCGTGTTGACTTTCTGTCAAGTCCTGCAGCCGGAGAGAGGATACATGAATCAGAAGGTTCTGCAGATCTGGGCCAGAGAGAGACCAGAGAGACCAGAGAGACCAGATAGAGACCAGAGAGAGACCAGAGAGAGACCAGAGAGACCAGAGAGACCAGAGAGACCAGAGAGAGACCAGAGAGAGACCAGAGAGAGACCAGAGAGAGACCAGAGAGACCAGAGAGACCAGAGAGACCAGAGAGACCAGAGAGACCAGAGAGAGACCAGAGAGAGACCAGAGAGAGACCAGAGAGAGACCAGAGAGACCAGAGAGACCAGAGAGACCAGAGAGACCAGAGAGAGACCAGAGAGAGACCAGAGAGAGACCAGAGAGAGACCAGAGAGACCAGAGAGACCAGAGAGACCAGAGAGAGACCAGAGAGAGACCAGAGAGAGACCAGAGAGACCAGAGAGAGACCAGAGAGACCAGACCGAGAGACCAGAGAGACCAGAGAGAGACCAGAGAGAGACCAGAGAGAGACCAGAGAGAGACCAGAGAGAGGCCAGAGAGAGATCAGAGAGAGAGACCAGAGAGACCAGAGAGAGATCAGAGAGAGAGAACAGAGAGACCAGAGAGAGACCAGAGAGAGACCAGAGAGAGGCCAGAGAGAGACCAGAGAGAGACCAGAGAGACCAGAGAGAGACCAGAGAGAGACCAGAGAGAGACCAGAGAGACCAGAGAGACCAGAGAGAGACCAGAGAGAGACCAGAGAGAGACCAGAGAGAGACCAGAGAGAGACCAGAGAGAGACCAGAGAGAGACCAGAGAGAGGCCAGAGAGAGACCAGAGAGAGACCAGAGAGAGACCAGAGAGACCAGAGAGAGACCAGAGAGAGACCAGAGAGAGACCAGAGAGACCAGAGAGAGACCAGAGAGACCAGAGAGACCAGGGAGACCAGAGAGAGACCAGAGAGAGACTAGAGAGAGACCAGAGAGACCAGAGAGAGACCAGAGAGACCAGAGAGAGACCAGAGAGACCAGAGAGAGACCAGAGAGACCAGAGAGAGACCAGAGAGACCAGAGAGAGACCAGAGAGACCAGAGAGACCAGAGAGAGACCAGAGAGAGACCAGAGAGACCAGAGAGAGACCAGAGAGAGACCAGAGAGACCAGGGAGACCAGAGAGAGACCAGAGAGAGACCAGAGAGACCAGAGAGAGACCAGAGAGAGACCAGAGAGACCAGAGAGACCAGGGAGACCAGAGGGAGACCAGAGAGAGGCCAGAGAGGCCAGAGAGAGGCCAGAGAGAGACCAGAGAGAGACCAGAGAGACCAGGGAGACCAGAGAGAGACCAGAGAGAGACCAGAGAGACCAGGGAGACCAGAGAGAGGCCAGAGAGGCCAGAAAGAGACCAGAGAGAGACCAGAGAGAGACCAGAGAGAGACCAGAGAGAGACCAGAGAGACCAGAGAGAACAGAGAGAGACCAGAGAGAGGCCAGAGAGAGACCAGAGAGACCAGAGAGACCAGAGAGAGGCCAGAGAGAGACCAGAGAGAGACCAGAGAGAGACCAGAGAGAGATCAGAGAGACCAGAGAGAGACCAGAGAGAGACCAGAGAGACCAGAGAGAGACCAGAGAGAGACCAGAGAGACCAGAGAGAGACCAGAGAGAGACCAGAGAGACCAGGGAGACCAGAGAGAGACCAGAGAGAGACCAGAGAGAGACCAGAGAGAGACCAGAGAGACCAGAGAGAGACCAGAGAGACCAGAGAGAGACCAGAGAGACCAGAGAGAGACCAGAGAGACCAGAGAGACCAGGGAGACCAGAGGGAGACCAGAGAGAGGCCAGAGAGAGGCCAGAGAGACCAGAGAGACCAGGGGGAGACCAGGGGGACCAGAGAGAGGCCAGAGAGGAGACCAGAGAGAGACCAGAGACCAGGGAGACCAGAGAGAGACCAGAGAGAGACCAGAGAGACCAGGGAGACCAGAGAGAGACCAGAGAGACCAGAGAGACCAGAGAGACCAGAGAGAGACCAGAGAGAGACCAGGGAGACCAGGGAGACCAGAGAGAGACCAGAGAGACCAGGGAGACCAGAGAGAGACCAGAGAGACCAGGGAGACCAGAGAGAGACCAGAGAGAGACCAGAGAGACCAGAGAGACCAGAGAGAGACCAGAGAGACCAGAGAGACCAGGGAGACCAGAAAGAGACCAGGAAAGAGACCAGAGAGAGGCCAGAGAGAGACCAGAGAGAGACCAGAGAGAGACCAGAGAGAGACCAGAGAGAGACCAGAGAGAGACCAGAGACCAGGGAGACCAGAGAGAGACCAGAGAGAGATCAGAGAGAGACCAGAGAGACCAGGGAGACCAGAGAGAGACCAGAGAGAGATCAGAGAGAGACCAGAGAGTGTCTCGTGTAGGGCAGAGGAAATGCTCCGGGGAAAGTAGCGGGCCACGGCCGGCGAACCACTGGTCCTGGAAGAATCCCCCAAAAACCCACGGAAGGGGCAGCGTCCGTGTAGAAGCGGAGACCTGTAGGGGCAGAGAGACACACCGGAGAGGGCCATTGATGTTGCAGGCGCCTTTACGCTTAGAATCTTGCAGACTTCAGAAGATCGGGAAGTGGGCGTCTCCGGCTTTTAACTTGCTGTCCTGGTGGTTATTGGTTGACTGGGTGTGGGCGTTGCTGGTATTGATGAGTCGAGGAATAGCAGCCTGTGGCCTGGCAGCAACAGCCGGGTCTACCACGGTGAACTTTCGCGAAAGCTCCATGACTGAGGCTGTAGACCCAGGACTGAGGCTGTAGACCCAGGACTGAGGCTGTAGACCCAGGACTGAGGCTGTAGACCCAGGACTGAGGCCGTAGACCTAGGACTGCGGCTGTAGACCCAGGAATGAGGCTGTAGACCCAGGACTGAGGCTGTAGACCCAGGACTGAGGCTGTAGACCCAGGAATGAGGCTGTAGACCCAGGACTGAGGCTGTAGACCCAGGACTGAGGCTGTAGATCCAGGACTGAGGCCGTAGACCTAGGACTGAGGCCGTAGACCTAGGACTGAGGCTGTAGACCCAGGACTGAGGCCGTAGACCCAGGACTGAGGCCGTAGACCCAGGACTGAGGCCGTAGACCCAGGACTGAGGCCGTAGACCCAGGACTGAGGCCGTAGACCCAGGACTGAGGCTGTAGACCCAGGACTGAGGCTGTAGACCCAGGACTGAGGCCGTAGACCCAGGACTGAGGCTGTAGACCCAGGACTGAGGCTGTAGACCCAGGACTGAGGCTGTAGACCCAGGACTGAGGCTGTAGATCCAGGACTGAGGCCGTAGACCTAGGACTGAGGCTGTAGACCCAGGACTGAGGCTGTAGACCCAGGACTGAGGCCGTAGACCCAGGACTGAGGCCGTAGACCCAGGACTGAGGCCGTAGACCCAGGACTGAGGCCGTAGACCCAGGACTGAGGCCGTAGACCCAGGACTGAGGCCGTAGACCCAGGACTGAGGCCGTAGACCCAGGACTGAGGCCGTAGACCCAGGACTGAGGCTGTAGACCCACATGAGGTAAAACAGACTCTTAACTAAACCTCGTCCTCTGACTCCATCCATCTCCCATGATCCTCTTGGCCTCGGACTCGGGTGGTCGTCATGGTTACAGCTCAGACCTCTTCTTCTCGGTCTCGTTCTGGTGCAGCTGGAATGTCTTTCAGATCGTTTCAAAATAATATTCTTCTCTGTGGTCTCATTAGCATGTTTCCACACAGGGAGAGGCCCCGGCTCCACATCTGGAACCGGGCCCCTCGCCACGGCTCCCGACAGGATATGGCCGTCTACAGTAGCCACAGCTGCCCTGGGGCAGGCTGAGGGATGTGAGGCTGCCAATCTGAGCCATGGTCCTTTCCAGTCACCATCATATCTCTCATGTGTTTGTTAACCACAAGAGAGACTACTCACTCTGGTCTCTCTCTGGTCTCTCTCTGGTCTCTCTCTGGTCTCTCTCTCTGGTCTCTCTCTGGTCTCTCTCTCTGGTCTCTCTCTGGTCTGTCTCTCTGGTCTCTCTTTCGTCTCTCTCTGGTCTCTCTCTGGTCTCTCTCTGGTCTGTCTCTCTGGTCTGTCTCTCTGGTCTCTCTCTGGTCTCTCTTTGGTCTCTCTGGTCTCTCTCTCTGGTCTCTCTCTGGTCTCTCTGGTCTCTCTCTCTGGTCTGTCTCTCTGGTCTCTCTCTGGTCTCTCTTTGGTCTCTCTCTGGTCTCTCTCTCTGGTCTCTCTCTGGTCTCTCTCTGGTCTCTCTCTGGTCTCTCTCTGGTCTCTCTCTCTGGTTTCTCTCTGGTCTCTCTCTCTGGTCTCTCTCTGGTCTCTCTCTCTGGTCTCTCTCTGGTCTCTCTCTGGTCCTCTCGGTGCAGATGTGGAGAAGAGGCCGATGGTCGTGTGGTCAGAGCAGGTACCGTGATGAGAGCTTTGGAAAGACCCGCTTCAGTCTCGGAGCCGCAGTCACGGTTATTTGAAGATTTCAGATCGAGTTTAACAAAAATAGACTCAAATTGCGGGAGTTACGGGAATCAGAGCAGAGGCCCCTGTGGTTCTGACCGGTCAGAGACCAGAGAGAGGCCAGAGAGAGACCAGAGAGAGACCAGAGAGAGAGAGACCAGAGAGAGACCAGAGAGAGACCAGAGAGAGACCAGAGAGAGACCAGAGAGAGACAAGAGAGAGACCAGAGGGAGACCAGAGAGAGACCAGAGGGAGACCGGAGAGAGAGACCAGAGAGAGACCAGAGAGAGACAAGAGACTCTCTCTGGTCTCTCTCTGGTCTCGCTCTCTCTGGTCTCGCTCTCTCTGGTCTCTCCCTGGTCTCTCTTTGGTCTCTCTGGTCTCTCTCTCTGGTCTCTCTCTGGTCTCTCTGGTCCTCTCTCTCTGGTCTGTCTCTCTGGTCTCTCTCTGGTCTCTCTTTGGTCTCTCTGGTCTCTCTCTCTGGTCTCTCTCTGGTCTCTCTGGTCTCTCTCTCTGGTCTGTCTCTCTGGTCTCTCTTTGGTCTCTCTGGTCTCTCTCTCTGGTCTCTCTCTGGTCTCTCTGGTCTCTCTCTCTGGTCTGTCTCTCTGGTCTCTCTTTGGTCTCTCTCTGGTCTCTCTTTGGTCTCTCTCTGGTCTCTCTCTCTGGTTTCTCTCTGGTCTCTCTCTCTGGTCTCTCTCTCTGGTCTCTCTCTGGTCTCTCTCTGGTCCTCTCGGTGCAGATGTGGAGAAGAGGCCGATGGTCGTGTGGTCAGAGCAGGTACCGTGATGAGAGCTTTGGAAAGACCCGCTTCAGTCTCGGAGCCGCAGTCACGGTTATTTGAAGATTTCAGATCGAGTTTAACAAAAATAGACTCAAATTGCGGGAGTTACGGGAATCAGAGCAGAGGCCCCTGTGGTTCTGACCGGTCAGAGACCAGAGAGAGGCCAGAGAGAGACCAGAGAGAGACCAGAGAGAGAGACCAGGGAGGGACCAGGGAGAGACCAGAGAGAGAGACCAGAGAGAGACCAGAGAGAGACCAGAGAGAGACCAGAGAGAGACCAGAGAGAGACAAGAGAGAGACCAGAGGGAGACCGGAGAGAGAGACCAGAGAGAGACCAGAGAGAGACCAGAGAGAGACAAGAGAGAGACAAGAGACTCTCTCTGGTCTCTCTCTGGTCTCTCTGGTCTCTCCCTGGTCTCTCTCTGGTCTCTCTGGTCTCTCTCTCTCTGGTGTCTCTGGTCTCTCCCTGGTCTCTCTCTGGTCTCTCTTTCTGGTCTCTCTCTTTGGTCTCTGGTCTCTTTCTGGTCTCTCTCTTTGGTCTCTGGTCTCTCTGGTCTCTCTAGTCTCTCTCTGGTCTCTCTCTCTGGTCTCTCTGGTCTCTCTCTGGCCTCTTTCTGGCAGAGACAGCCGTGGATTCGTCCCATTAAAGGAGGACTGGTGGTTGGAAAATCCGTCGGAGCGCTGTGGTCTGCGACGGGAGCGACGGGAGGTCAGCGGGAACATCATCCGACTCAGAGAGGACCGTTAGCTACTGATGCTATCCATTATGAAGCAACCACAGCAGAGCACAGAGAATAACTGAGATGCCAGAGAACACAGACCTTCCAACCATGTGTGCGTTCAGCCTCCACAGAGACCGGTCCTGAACCTGCCTCTGTGGGACCCACTTTAAGGTCACATCTAGACTTACTCTCAGAGATATCGTTCTGTTGTTTTTAGGTTTTCCACTTTTACTTCTGAACTGCATCTACAGCCTCAGTCCTGGGTCTACAGAGACAGACCAGAGTGAGACCAGAAAGAGACCGGAGGGAGACCAGAGAGAGATTAGAGGGAGACCAGAGGGAGACCGGAGGGAGAGACCAGAGTCAGACCAGAGTCAGACCAGAGTCAGACCAGAGTCAGACCAGAGTCAGACCAGAGTCAGACCAGAGTCAGACCAGAGTCAGACCAGAGTCAGACCAGAGTCAGACCAGAGTCAGACCAGAGTCAGACCAGAGTCAGACCAGAGTCAGACCAGAGTCAGACCAGAGACAGACCAGAGACAGACCAGAGAGAGACCAGAGAGAGACCAGAGAGAGACCAGAGAGAGACCAGAGAGAGACCAGAGAGAGTAGAGTAGAGTTGGTGGAAACAGGGCTGTTGGACCTCACAGTCTCTTGTGTTCACTGTGTTCCCTAAAGTCTGGATCATTATGTGTTTAACACTGAGTCAGAATCTATAAAACTTTAAAAGTCCAAACAAACAGAATTCTCTGTTCTTCTGTTTTTATTCGGCTTTTAGCAGAAATTACACAAATCTCTCTCTGCCTTTGATTGGCCGACACGGAATGTGGGAAATGTGTTTGTTTGTGTTTGCGGCCAGTTTAAAGACGGAAAACTACGGTCTGTAGTGATGAGTCTGAGACTGAGACCGGGTCTGAGTCTGAGGCCGGGTATGGGTCTGAGTTTGGGCCTGAGTCTGAGTCTGAGACCTGGTATGGGTCCGGGTCGGAGTCTAAGACTGAGACCGAGACCGAGACCGAGACCGAGTCCGAGTCCGAGTCCGAGTCCGAGTCCGGGCCTGAGTCTGGGTCGGCGTCCGAGTTTGGACCGGAGTCAGGGGCTGTGTCTGGGTCTGAGTCTGAGTCTTAGACCGGGTCTGAATCTGAATCTGATACCGGGACCGGTTCGTTGTCTGAGTCTTAGACCGGGTCTGAATCTGAGTCTGAGACCGGGTCTGAGTCTTAGTCTGTCACCAGAATAGAAACATAAACTGGACATGGTGATGTAACACATGGTGAACCAGGTGAGACTCTGGTATAACTTAAAACACAACCTTAGTCTAAAGAAAAGCAGAACGACAGTGACGCTGCACATGGCGCCCCCTGCAGGAGGACTCTGGGAACTGCACCCTCCTCTTATACTTTGGTCCAACTGCATCATGACTTCAGCTGTAGTCTGTTCATTGCTATTCACCCACTGTCCCTGTGTCTGTCTCAGGGCGTGACGATGGGACCCGGATCTCGGCCTCCTCCATCTGCAGCTGTGTTTGTTGTGGGTCGGTTGCTAGGATACGGTCCCTGATACTGAATGGGAACACAACCAGGTAGAAGCAAGTCCATGGCCACATGTAGTCAGGTATTTAAAAACAGAATATTTCCCCCAAATCTCTGTTATCTGTCCACAGCAAATGCATGGACGCAGTTTTCAAAAATATTCACTTTGAGTTTTTTCATATGTTTGTTATTCGTTATACTCTACAGGGCCATAGTATGAGGGTCAAGTTAGGAAAGAACCAGGAGCACTCAGTCCCAAACAACAACAAGCATGCTAACAGTGTGCAGCCGCCTCCTGTCGCTGAGACTCAGAGGGAGGAGGGAATGATGGGAAACAACATTAAAAAGCCGCACAAATCAAAAGCAGACAAAAGTTCAGGACGGGACGTGGAATCTGAATTCTGTGATTTGCAATTATCCGCTCTCTCTTCTTCCTGCGTCTCTGGAGAGATGTAAAGCTCTCGCTCCAACCTCTCCTCCAGATATTGCTTTAATTATCCCGGGATAGATCCGCCGTCGGCCCAAGAATGCCTTTGGACTCGCTCTGAACACATTCTTCTGCTTCCCTCAGAGTTCAGGCGGCAGTTGGATGGAGACGAACCGTGTTACACATGTCTGTTGTGTTCTGTCTGTTCTGTTCTGTCTGTTTTGCGGCTCTGGCTCTCTCTCTGGTCTCTCTCTGGTCTCTCTCTGGTCTCTCTCTGGTCCCTCTCTTCTCTCTCTCTGGTCTCTCTCTGGTCTCTCTCTGGTCTCTCTCTGGTCTCTCTCTCTGGTCTCTCTCTGGTCTCTCTCTCTGGCCTCTCTCTGGTCTCTCTCTCTGGTCT